CTGACAAAGATGTTGAACAGCACTGGACCCAGAACAGACCCCTGAGGAACATCGCTTGTCCTCAGGTGTCCATGTGGGTATCGAGCCATTGACCACAACTCCTGGAGCGCACCTTCTGGTCAGTTCCTTATCCACCGAGTGGCCCATCCATCAAGTCCATGTCTCTCCATCTTAGACAAGGATGTCATGTGGGACAGTGTCAAACACCTTGCACAAGTCCAGGTCAATGACGTCAGTTGCTCTTCCCACATCAACCACAGCTGTAGCTCTGTCATAAAGGCCACCAAATTAGGCACAATTTGCCCTTAGTGAAGCCATGTTGGCTGTCACCAATCACCTCGCTATTTTTCATGTGCCTTCATACTGTTACCAGGAGGATCTGCTCCATGATTTTACCTGGCACAGAGGTGAGGCTGACTGGTCTGTAGTTCCCTGGGCTTTCTTTGTTTCCATTTTTAAAAATGGGCATTATGCTTCCCTTTTTCCAATCTGTGAGAACTTCACCGGACTGCCAGGACCTCTCAAATACGATGGCCAGAGTCATAGCAACTTCAGCCGTCAGTTCCTTCAGGACCCGTGGATGTATCTCATCAGGTCCCATGGACTTGTGCACCTTCAGGTTCTCTAGGTGTTCCCAGAACTGATCTGCTCCTACCCTGGGTGGTTCTTCACTCTCCCAGTCCCAGCCAGCATCATCTGTTATGCGGGTGGTGTGGCTCAAGTGGTTATCAGTGAAGACTGAAGCAAAACAGTCATTGAGTACTTCAGCCTTTTCCATATCCTCAGTAACCAGGTCACCTGTATCGCTGTGGAGAGTCTCCATATTCTCTCTCATTTTTATTTTTTCTTTCACGTATCTATAGAATCCTTTTCTGTTATTTTTAATGTCCCTGGACAGATTTAATTCCATCAGGGCTTTAGCTTTTCTAACCGGGTTTCTAGTTTCACAAACAATATGCTTACAATCATCCCAGGTTACCTGTTCTTGCTTCCACCCTTTGTGGATTCCACTTTTGTGTTTGATTTTTTGCCAGGAGCTCTTTGTTCATCCATATAGGCCTCCTGGCATTTTTGCCAGATTTCTTCCTTTTAGGGATGCAGTGCCTTTGAGCTTGGAGGAGATGATCCTTGAAAATCAACCAGCTTTCCTGGGCTCCCAATCCCTCCAGGGCTTTGTCCCATGGTATCCTACCAAGGAGGTTCCTAAGAGGCCAAAGTCAGCTCTTCTGAAGTCGAGGGTTTTCAGCTTGCTGAGTGTCCCCTTCATTGCTGCCCTTAGGATTTTAAACTACACCAAACTAATGAAATTTAGGTTGGTAATTATGCTGAAGGGCAAAGGAATAAATCCAGTTTGGGACACAACACTACCAATGACAGCTTTAGGCCTCTATTAAGTTATATAGCTATGCTTGTAACTGGATAGAGAAATCACTGTAAAATACTGGTGTATAAAGCACAATATTGACCAAGTTACTACCACGAAGCCTTTAGGTCTGTACCTAGAACAAAGAACAGATCTAAAATCTCTTGCACAGACTCTAGGAAAGCTAGCTTGAAATCTCCAGTTTAAAGAAAGACATGTTTCTTCATTAAAATGATAACACTTAACATTCAAAGATATGTCCTTTCTAAATTATTTGAAACAGCTCTTCTAAGGTAGAAAATTCTCACCTCATCCCTCTCCACATTTACTCATTCTGTCAGTACTAATTTCTGTGTTACTATAATCACTCTAAAGTGCAAATCAGTAAGCCTCTGGTAAGCAGTAAATTTTCAATACTAGTGCCATAAATTTTGTATTGATGTATTCCCCCCAAGAGTACCAAATGAACTGAAAAAATAAGATGATGTGCCTGAAACAGGAATAATCCCAATATTCCTGGCACATCATATGTCAAGCACATTAATAAAGCTAATTTACTAGTCACAGTACTCAAAGCCATTTAAGCCTTCATCACAGAGGCACTCAGTTTCATATTATAATCCTTGGAACTACACTTACAAGCTTGGTGAGATTTAAAAGGCTGAAGGGGAAAAAGAAAACGAACCAGAATTTATAACCACAAGATCTAGCAAAAAGATACACTACAGAAATCAATATTAATCTATTTAAAAATCAAGTTCTACCAGGACTGTAAATATACGTAAGATTTATATTCATTTTATTAATGTTTTCATTTTCTATTTCAGTGCTGTACACTAGCAAACAATTGTACACACAACTAATTTAAACCATGTTAAACATGACTTAACAGAACAGTACAATTACATTTGGGTTTGGAGCAACAGGTCTTTAATAATAAACAATCATAATTCACATTGCAATGGACTTCAGGAGATCTTTAGTCTAAAATCCTGCTCAAAGCAGGCTCAGCTCTGAAGTTGCCTGGCACTTTGCCCAGTCTGGTCTCAAAAATCTCCAAGGCTGGGACTGCTTAGCTTTCCTCATCAGAAAGAAGTATTTCCCTGTACTCAGCCTGAATCCTTCTCATTTCAACAGATGCCCATTTTTCCTCATCCTTCCACCATGCACTGCTGTGAAAAGCCTGTTCCTGACTTCTTGATAAGAAATGGCAGGTAGGACTTAGGTCTCCCTTAAGCCACCTCTACTTCAGGTGGAATAAGCCCAGTTCCACCAGACTTCTCTCACAGGGAAAGTGTTAGAGCCCCAAGTATCATGAGAGCACACCATTAAAGTCACTCCAGTTTGACAGTGTGTTTCTTGTACCATTGTGGCAAAACCAGGTGCAGTGTATACCAGATGGGGTTTAATGAGTGCTCGGTAAAGGAGGACAATCAGTTCCCTTGAGCTACCACCTGTTTCCTGTTCACACATCCTAGAACACTCTTGGCCTTTGCCACCATGGCATACTGCTGGCTTGCATACAGCTTGCTGTATGCCAGGACCTCAAGGGCCTGGACTTTCAGTGGAGCTGCTCCCAAACCCATTGGTCCCCAACCTGTATTGTTGCCGGTGGCAATTCTTTCCAAATTCAGAACTTGACATTCAGCCTTGTTGGATTTCATAATGTTCCTGTTGTCCATTCTTCCTGTCTTGGTCCCTTTGGATGACAGCCCTGCTCTTGAATATATCAGTGGTTTTCCCTAATTTGGTGTCCTCTGCAAACTTTATGAGTACACATTCTATCGCCTCCTTCAGACCACTGATAAAGATGTTAAACATGACAGGCCTCAGAACAAACCCCTGTGGCCCTCCATGTTAACAGCAAAATTATCTGCTACCTGATGAGACTAACCATCCAAATAAATTTTTCTCCATCTAGCTGTCCACTCATCCAGACCACAACACCCTAACCTGGATATAAGAACACCATGAGCAACTCTCCAAAGCTTTGCTACAGCCTTGGTAAATAACATCTACTGCTCTCAGCCTGTTGTTTCCTGACAGAAAGCAGTCAGATTGCTCCTGCAGGATTAACCATGAACATTCCCTGTACGATATTTACAATTCCATAAATAATTATTTTCCCTTACATTTCGAATAGTAGCTTCCAGCTCTTCAATTCTCTGCTCCAAATGAGCCTTTTCATTAAATGCAGTGTCTTGGGAAATCTGTATCAAATAACAACAATAAAATCACATATAGAACAAGTCTGAACTCAGCACAGACATGTAATGCAATTAACTCTTAGGATTAGAAATCTCTAGCAACTTTAATTACACTACTAAGTAGTTTTCATGTTAAAATAACCCTGGAGGTGTGGAATCAAACCTTTAACTGCTCCCTGAGGCTATCACGTTCTGTAGCCATCCTGCGGAAATCCGACAGGGCTGTATCCCTTTCTGTCTCCACATGTCTTAGCATAGCTTGAGCTGTCACAGTACTTTTAGGAGTCCTGGGGCATTTGATAATTTCCTGACGAAGTCGGGAGATCTCTTCCTGTGCCTGTTTTTAAAAACAGCAGCATAACAAAAATATGGAATAGATAATGTAAGATATTGCTGTAGCATATGTCTGATAATGTAGAGCATCCCACAAATTGCAATATCAAAGACGAAGTAGCTATTTGTACGTATGTCCTTCGATTCAAGAAAGTATTCTTAACTCAGGACAGCACTTACAAACTTGTATTTAACTGATAGATTCAAATCAGAATTCCCATATCCTTTTTCCTATTTTCTGAACAAATGCCTTGCATTTTTTTCTTATCTTACACAAACCCAGGGTTTCTTCTTGCATATCACCTTAAGGTATTTTAATTAATCATACAAATACAAATAAAATTACCTGCTCGTAAAGATTGATAATTTTATCTCTCTCAGCTGTTAAAACTTTGAAGTTACCCTGAATTTCTGCCACACGGCGCTCATATTTTTTCAGTGTTGATTTAAGTTCTTCACGTTCTCTCAATATTTTCAAAACTTCTGGATCAGAATTCACTCTCTTAAAGAATAAAGTGATGTAAGGTTAAAGCAGAAAAACAAAACTTGATATGCTTTCTTATTATACCTGGTTTAGAAATTTCCATAAAAGATTCAATAACCCTTCAACCTGGTAACCTCAAGACTGTACGTAAATTTTTCTCAGTATTAGAATCCAAATATACATAACACATTTATTTTGAGTAGCGTATTAACAATTACTTAATGTCAGTAGATGTCAGTAACCATTTAAAATGACATACAGACATGCAGTGTAAAGTGGCAGTTTAGCTCACATTATTTGTCCATTCTGATTTTGTGCATACCTTTGTTTATAATCAATTAATTCATGGTAATTATGGCTTTGGTATTTTAGCACAAAATAAACCAATTTTTTAAAAAATGCATTCCTCCCCTTCCAAAGTGTTTTCCAAGCTCACCTGGATTGATGAAAATTTTTTTGACATGCTGCCACAAGTAGAGGTTTGCTTAGGACTTGAAAATGTGTTTCTAAATACTTTCAGTGAATTCTCAGTCTCACTTTTACAGTAGTCTCTGTGCTCTTCTAATGTCTTAATAAAGGTATCAAGCCTTGAAGGTGACTTTCCTGGCTTTATCTCAGCTTCTTTTTGTAAAATAACCTTCATGAACAAAAAAGATAGAATTCATTCACTGAAACAGAACTTTTGTAATGAATGATACTTCAATGTAAAATACTCTTCAAAATGAAGATGAAGCAGATAGCTAATTAAAATAAATACCCATTTAATACTTTAAAGTAACTTCCGAATGTCTGTATTTTGTCATTTTTGTTATATTGCAGAATATGTCTGAATGTCCTTCTAAAATAGATCTAACAGGACAGAAAAGGACATAAAAGCTAAACGGTAATAACTTGGAATATATCTGTTCAAAACTAAGGAGGACAATTAAGTAGATTTGTATTAGATTACCTAATGAATTTTTAAATATGAAAGTAATTAGGCCACCACATTTGCTTAAGATCCATTAAAGGTAATTTTTTTAAAATGGAAATAAAGAAATATACGAATAAGTGTGGATGAAACCCAGGAAGTCATGCAGGGGCCTTAAACAGATTCTGAATATGAATTGCAATTCCAAAGTTCAAAATTGCATACCAAATGCCTCTCTGCTACAATCTGCCTATTGGAAGTATCTGGACTCAAAAGTTTAAGTATCTAGGGAATACCAAACTCTGCAAATTTATTACTTTTGTTAAGACACATGCAGAACTAGTTCTTTATATCCCTGAAAAGTTATAGATCAATCACCTAAATTTCTCAATGAATCCCAAACTTTCTGGGTGAAGGATCGAAATCTTTCCAGGGTATTTGAACAGTAAGCTCTACATGGTCAGTGTTTTGGTTGTTGGTTTTTGTTTATTTGTTTTTGTTTTTTTTTTCCAGAGGGGGTTCTTTGCAGGATTGTGGCATAAGCTGCAACATTTTATACCAGAAAGAAAAAAACCAACCCCTTCCAGCCCCCTGAAAAGTAAGAAATTATTATCTTCAACACATAAAAAGAATCCTTAGCAATTTATACTGGGAGTGAATGAGTCTGCTTAAATTCAAATATTAATTTAAGTTAACACTGGTAAATACTTCTACAATTACAACAAAAGTATTATTACACCTTAAGAAGACAGAATATTAGATAAAAAACATGAGAAAAAAAATGTTTTTTCTTTCTGCTTTGCACGTGATTTACAAGGTATTCAAAACAGTTATATGCAAATTGTAAAAAGAAATTTTCAAGATTTTCAAAAGCAAAATTATTACAAACTAGTTGCAAAACAGAAACAGATTCCCATCTACGTAGAGACAGAACTACAAATGAAAAGAGTTATGTTTATCAATTCTATAACTTGTCTGTTCTTAGTGAAAACAAAGAAAGTTAAAATTACTGGTACAAATATTAATTTAATGCGGAAATGAATTGATTCCATAGTTATGTATATATTAAGGACACATGTTTAACTCACAGATTTTAGTGTTTGCACCCTGTGTTCCAGCTTCTTTATCTTGTTCTGCTGGTGTTGAATTTGAATCTACCATAAAAAAATTGAGAACAAGGGATGCATTGATTTTTTTTATAATTGTTAGCTCCAATCCAGAATTTTAGTTGAACTGTTCTAGCTCAAAGGAGTATTTTGTACATTTTTCTAGTTTGAATAGGCTACAAAAACCCCACACTAGTAAGAATAACTGATTCCCTTCAAGATTAAGAGTTTTGTCTTCAACTGCAGTCCAGGATCAGGAAAAACAGTAGCACCTGAGTTACTCTCAGGTGAGTGAATGAAAAAGGAAGCATGGGATACATTTTCCCAGAACTCTTACCGAGAAAGTTCTAAAAATAGGGACAGTTTGACTATATCTATGGGCTAAAGAAACAAATATATAGTTAAACTAATTGCAAACAAAGTATATGCTTTTCCCATCTGACCACTACTACTAAATCATATAACTGTATGTTCAGAGAATGCAATTTTCCATTATCCTGTGAAATCAAAATTATTTTTCACTGAAATTTACATTCTTTCCAGCAGCAAGCATGATTTTAATCCTTGAACCATTTTACACTTGAAAAATACTACAGTGGCCAGAACATACTCCTTCATCCCAGCAAACATATTTCAACACAGAGATGAAAGCTAGAAATACACCCCAAGAGGTCAAAAACCCACCCAAAACAGTTCCCCATAGTATCACTGCAAAATATTAATTCTAATAAGTGGATACCTTTGCTTCCTCCAGCTCCTTATCAGTAGTATTTAATAGTATTTCTTTTTCCAGCTGCTCAGATAGTTTGCTAATTACAGCAAGTTGTTTACACAGCTCATCATTCTTATAGGTGAGTCTATTCGTTTGACTTTCCACCTTCTTATCAAGCAGTTGTATGACATGTTGCCTTAGCTCATGGTTTATCTTCTTCAGATCTTTAATCTATGAGCAAAAGGAGGAAGAAAGTTGGGCCTGTATCCTTCACACAGGCCAGCAAAAATGTAGCAGACTGACTGTTAATATGAATTCACCAATTAATCAATATAAGATTAGCAATTTCTCTGAAACAATGTAGTCTTTTTAGAAAAATATGGACTTCTTCTAAGAAACTAGAAGTTGCTAATTATTTTGGCACTATCAACTTATTTTAATATCTCAGTCTGTAGGAGCATTACTGCCTTATATATAGCTTTTCCATTTTCAGAGTCCTCAGGTTTCTAAATCCTAGCCTAACTGAGATACGGGTACAATGTGATGCAGAAGCTCCATTTCTTGGACAGGCTGATCATGTAATGCATGAGAAGTCAGTACTGCTGAACACTAAATTCTGTGAGGTTCACTTGATCCTAATAGTCAGAGAGTTTTCTTCAGGTACTACTAGCAGTGCACAAAAATACATTCTGAACTATTTAGAAAGACCTAAAAGCTGCTTTGTGACAAAAAACTTTCTGGATGGGCTCTCTCCTGTGACTTAAGATCTGTTTGTTCTTGTCTTCTCTCTCTATCCTGCTCTAATCCAGTTGGTTTGGTTAAACTAGTGGTAAATTAAATTTATGTTTGTTTTCTCCCTGAGTCTGCCCTGTTTCTTTGTCCATGACCATAAGTGGTGAGACCCTCCCTGTCCTCGATCCTCAAGCCTTTCTTTGTTGAATTTTCTCCCTCTCCATTCCTAAAGGTAAGGGGTGGGGATGAGCAAGCAGCTGTGTAGTTTTTGTTCACAGCATTGTGGGTTCAAACTACGATAGGGAAGTATCCCACAGGTCTAACAGCAGAATATGAACATTGAATTTCGCACCAGCAGGAAGTTACCACCACCAGCATGACGACAACAGTTTCTCTCCAGGTTTGCATTCAAGACTTTCAAGGAAATTTAAGGCAGCTCCTTCGATGAATTATTTCCCTACCACATTCAGCCTTACATGAATCAAATCTCTGTCACCAGTTATCAGTCTGATCATCAGCCTCAAGGCATTTTTAAGCACCACTACAAGTGGTAATTTTGTTTAGAAGTAAGCTAACTTAATTTTGGATATCTACAAAGGGGCATTTCTAGAAAGTGATTACTGTGATCGATTTTAGCCATTCATTCTAAAATTAAGAATGCCCTAGCAGTACCTCCAACAATAAAGATAGCTTAGATGCATCTATTAGTCATCATTACCGTTGACACATCAAATCAGATGAGGTGGATCCCATCCTAACATTCTGCTGTCTCTGAAAGAGGCACTCACAACTTTCTGCAGTTATATATACACACTGTGCTAGGCTTTCGATAAAAGGGAAGAGAACAGATCAGAGTAATTCACAAACTACCTGTACCCTCAGTACCTCGCTGAGCACCGAGGACTCAAATTTACACACAGTATTTTCTCACTCAATACACCACTTTCACTCAACTTCCCAAAGAGAACTTTTTGAAAACCTATCCTAAACCAACTATTATATATGTTTGCTATACAGTGGTAAGATTTAACTACTGCCATTGACATATTTCACCGCCATCCGCTGAAGCACAATAATGCAACCCCCTTGAAAGGGGATAAAACTTCACGTTCAGACCATTCTAAGCTTCACACGGTGCGAAAGACACTTGCACCACCACTTGTAGCATGACCAAAAGAATTCACTCACTAAATTTTTCGGACTGATTAAATCTCTGGTTTTGAGTTCCAAGTATTCGAGTGATTAACCATTTCAGACGCTCCTTTCCTCCTTGCTCCCCACCGCACACGCAGCAACAGCGCCTGAAAGCCCCTGTGCCCCCGCACACCCCACCCGGGCGAGGCGCC